ACAAGAACAAAGGCGCGTCCTACGCAAACGCGAAACTACCTAACAGCAACAACGCAACCCAACAATGCATGTGCTGAGACTGAATGAACTTTGTGCTCACAACTTTTTCTGCAGCGCATGGAATCTGTTGGAACTTGTGGCACAATTCAGTCAGTCAAATCTATTGACAGACGCAACCAAATGTTTTGCCATCCAAAACAACAGCCACATCTCAAATTGGCCAGACAGCAAACTCGAGTGGTCAGACGGCAAATTGGTCTGACATCAACTCAATTGTCTGCTCAAATTGGCCAGATGGTCTGACATCAACTCACCTTGGATCGGTCTGATGTGCATTGAGACCGAAGACCCCAATCATCGTCGGATCTCGTGATGCCAGGTACTCCATGACGATTCCCAAACGGTTCGTCAGGCGATTGATGGTCTCGTCATGCTGCGCAAGTTGTAGCTGCATGGCCTGGCACTTTTCATGAAGTCTGCCGCATGCTTCAATGGTGTCAGTGCCGTGTCGATACGACAATTCCAACATGGTCAGACACACGTCATCCGGACTGCAGTCAGACGGGGCCAGGTCAATCGTCCCTCCAAATCGTTCAACTGCCTGCAAGACTTCTTGGTACATCTGCCTTTCTGTGAAGACAAAATGAAACCGGCGGGCAGACGAGAGGGGCTGGTCCCACGGGACCCAATGCGCAGTCAGACACTCGAGAGGCGGCGTCTGACGACCTGCTGGTGTCGCAGCAGGGAAAACCACCCTGTTCAGCGCGCAGTCCCAACCCCCGAGCCCCAAGGACGGCAACACAGAATCCAAGATGAATTCAGGATCCGTCAGACGAGTGGGCCATTGCACGGGAACTGCAACCACGTCAGGGAGCGGAAGCATCGCCATGTCAGTCAACGCAGGTCAGGTGCAGGTCAGGCGCATGTCAGGCGCTTGAGTTTCACTGCAAAGGAGTGAATCATGTCTTCCAATCTCAAGTCATTGAGTCATGCAAGTAATGACATCCAATCTCAATCCAATGGGTCAAGCAGCTGACATCTAACTGTTTGAGTTTCACTACAAAGGAGATGTTGAAAACGCCACAACTGAATCACTTTGAATCAAATTGAATTCAACTAAAATCAAAACCTCAACAAAATCTCAAAGAAATAAATTGCCATCCCAAATGAATATTTTTAGAATCCATTGCAGCAACAATTTTATTAATTAACATCTCAAACTGACGCACGCACGCCCCGCAAGAATCATGACAGTGGGACCTCATTAGCATTATCTGCACTATCCTCCACATAGACCTCAGCGGGTTGCAAATAGATTGGAGGTAAGTAAATGACTGGATCCAAAAGATTATTTTGTGGATGGTAGGTAACCTACAGTTGGAAATAATAATCCGTTCTTGAAAACGCCAGTCAAAATACATATTGTAAGGCTGAATGACATCATAAATACAACCGGCATTTGCTTAACCAACCAAAAAATGATGATGATAAATCACATCAGAAAATACTGCATAGCAACCAAAACTATCTATAGCTCCGTCGCTTGGAATTATAAATCATATTAATCATATTCTATTATAATTATATCCTAGATCTTCGATTGTACAAGAATATTTTGGTAGACTGTTTACCATTTCTTTCGAGATATCGGGAAAAACGTAGTCCTTGACCACATCGACTGATTTTTCTTAAATCGACCAGTTATTAGGCCAAATGGGTCCATATGAGACATTCAGCACTTGGAGTCAAGAATCCCAATGTTGAGAGATTAAATTTGATGATTTGGGGATACTTTTGGACTCATCAGTCATTGATCATCTCTTGGATTGGGATAACCACTTAATTACTATTATGATCTTAGAATATGGGATAGATTGGGACAACCATTGGCAAAGTCCTAGCCATTTTCTGGGACCACTGGCAACTTTGAAGAAACTTGATTCATGATTTGAGATGTAAATTGTAAATTATATGAAATCTACAGATTTTCAATGATGTTCATTGATTTTCATGAACAAAAAGGCAAAAGTTTGCGCCTACAAAATTCTTCAAAACAACCTCAAAATCCCAGCAAACGACCTCAAAAACCATCAAACGGCTACAAATCCCAAAAACTAGGTCAATCATGTTGTTTTACGATTCCAGAGGATTTGCATCAAAACATGATATTTCCATAAGCTTCAGCCAAATTCATAACCACATTGACCCAGGCAGGGAAACCTAGCAGGAGCAGAAAGCGTGACTACATTCACATCTGTAAAATCTTGCTGCTTAATTGCTACATTTGACACTGAAGCTGTACTGCATATGGATTTACATCATACAGTAATTTCATTGGTTTTACCTTGAAGTGGATTTTGCTCAAGACTTGCCTAGGCGGTAAAGGGTACCAACATGGCAGGTGAGTTAGGGGGCAAATCTTCCCCTTCAATAGTGGGGTCGCCTACTTTTCTGTGAAACGACTCAAATTGTCTACTTCTTGGAATATCGATCAGAAAAAGTAGACAAAGGGCATCGACCAAAATATTTTGAGATTTAGAAGTACTAACTCAATAATTAATAATTACTGAATGAAATAATAATACATAATAATACCATGAATGAAGATGTGAAAATATGATTGCACACCCACAGCTCTCCCTCCAAGGTCTATCCTTTTGGCCCATAATCGTCGTCGCCATCGGCAGACCGTCAGGCAAAGTTGACAAGATGCTAGGAACGACTATCCTTTTTGGCCCATAATCTTCGTCGCTGCCGGCAGACCGTCAGGCAAAGTTGACGATGCTAGGAACGACCCATGTGTTCCAGCAACAAGCATTCTGCTAAGAAGACCTCTGTCTTGATAGTCGCGTCAACGCGGAGTAGCCTCAAGTAAGACAGAATCGCGTCGCTGGAGTCATACGAAGAGCAATGCTTGAACCCCATCCGAAGCAATGCTAATCCGACCTTCCGCGCCGTAAGGTCAGACTCAGTCTCGTCATACCATGCCTTCAAAACATCACTGCGACTGCAGCTGCGACAAACTCTGGACCAAAAGTCAACGGCAAAACTCAAGACCATGACTGCAGTGGACTCATGGTAGCCAGAGTTAATAATATTAAATGTCATCCTGTACAAAAATCGTCTGACGTCCCTTTGAAATCCGTCAGACAGGTGCTGGCTTTCAGGCAGAATCAGTCTGACCACATTCTCTTGAGGAAGGCTGGATGTGTCAGACAGGCAGCTTGTCAGAGATGGGGACAAGCGGCTTGACAAGCAGCTTGGGCTGCAACAGGTCTGACCAAGCCTTAATTTCATGATGATTTGATCCCAATGACACCAGAAAGAAACAAATAGAAACCTACTTTAGTTTGAATTAAATTGTTAATTTAATGTTACCAGTCACTGACTAGTCAGTCAGTTTCTCAGAAATGAGGGACAAGACCAGTGACCACAATGAAACATGCCCAAGCAACTTCTTTCGCTTCTTCTTCTTCTTCCTGTCAGCCATCTCTTGTTGACAAGCTCGCATTGCCTCTTCCTTCCTCAGCAAGGAATTGACAGGGCCCAAACTGAACCGACAGAACTGAACAATTACAACAAAGTTTTTTTTCTGTGAAGGTCTTCATTGAATTTCCTATCATTTCACTTTATTCATTTAGATTTATAATTAATTAATTCATTGCCATTCATATCATTTCATTTCATTTCGTTTCATCCCATTTTATTTTAATGCTTCCAAGCATCGACATTGACCCTTGCTCAATGCCAAATGACCGCAGCAGACGAGACAGCTCTTTGGAGGTCAGACCCGACATGACAGCAGCACAACAGTTTGGAGTCTGACTGTGCTTCTTCCTGTTCTTTACAGTTGCCAAAATGGAAACTCCTGAGTGACTCAGACTCATGTCTCTATCAGATCAACACATAATGGATATTAGCATTATTAAGAATGACGGCTAAAAAAGAATATCTCTGGCTGGTGCAGTGACCACTAAGTAGCAAAGTTCGGCAGCCAGACATCAAACCCATCAATACCAACCACATCTTCACAAACGCAGCAAACATAACAGAGTCTGATGCATCAATGTCAACAATAAGAATGCTTGTATTCAAGAATACATACAATTACAATTACAATGGTACAAAGACATTTACGGAAATATGATGACTGTTCCAGCATGGAACCCAACGCCAATGACATCAGTGAATTTTCACAAACGCAGCAAACATTTAACAGAATTTGCCTCAATGTCAACAATAAGAATGCTTGTATTCAAGAATACATACAATTACAATTTCAACGTTACAAAGACATTTACAGACCTATGATGACTGTTCCAGCATGGAACCCAACGCCAATGACATCAGGGAATTTTCACAAACGCAGCAAACATAACAGAATCTGCATCAATGTCAACAATAAGAATGCTTGCATTCAAGAATACATACAATTACAAATGACATCAGGGAATTTTCACAAACGCAGCAAACATAACAGAGTCTGATGCATCAATTTCAACAATAAGAATGCTTGTATTCAAGAATACATACAATTACAATTACAATGGTACAAAGACATTTACGGAAATATGATGATGGCTGTTCAAGATATTCACACAGTTTTGATGACCAGAGTATGGCATAAATCCATTTTTTCTATCATGGAAACATGTCCCCTGAACAGTGCTCTAATTATTTCCACCTACAGATTATTGATGTTAATTCCACCTGGCCCCTCAGTCTGACAGTCATGAGTAAACAACATTTTCAGGCTTCGCGCTCAGACTGTTGTCACAGACAGATATTGGCAGACGCTGACTACTTGATCCAGCCACTCATAGTGCGACATAATTTTTGGATCGGTCAGACAGTCAGACACGAGCCTGCTACACATGACCACACAGGTCAGACGGGCCTGATCATTTTTTCTTCGCTTGCAGCTTCTCCAGGAAGTCCTTAGTTAGTTGTTGAACAAGTCATTACAAGAAGCAATTTCTGGATGTCAAACCGTTGTTTCATTAAATAGGGGTAGGGAAGTGACGCTGTAAATAAATCCGAACTGTCAACATTGATAATTGGGTAACATGAATGACAGCAAATATAGAATATATAATATATAGATTGGTCTTTGACAAGGCCACCAAACAAACAATGACAAGTTCAATCTGTAACCAAGTGTCCTTCTTTGCCTTCATGCTTCTTTGTCGTGCTTCCTCACGCTGCGTGCTGTCCTGCTTCCCCATGCCTTTCAGCTCAGCCAACTCTTTTTGCACCCTGACCACAGCATCTGCTTTCGCCTTCTCATCATCTGCTTCTTTTCTGGCTGTGGTGAACCTTCCCCTTCCTTTTCCTCTGCCATGCCCCCTGCCACGTGTCAGGCTGCTTGATTGGGCCGGCTGTTTTTTGGGTGGCCTTTTTGATGGCGGCTCGTCAGGCTCGTCAGGCTCGTCTTGATCTTCTTCATCTTCATCTGTATCCTTTTTTTTCCTTTTTTTCCCTTTGCCGTCTTTGTTTTTTTCCTTTTTCTCTGTTTTTTTTTGTTTTTTCTCCTTTTTATTTTTCTTGTTCTTGTTGTCATTCTCGCCCTTGTCAGACTCATCAACGTCGGCTAGCAAGTCATCCAACTTGAGGTCGTCAGGCAAATCCAGCCTCGGCTCAAGACGCTGGCAACTCAAAGAAGATATTTTGGCTCGGCAAGAACCACTATTGAATCACAGTCACAAGCACCTGTCAAGGTCTTAGGAACTGTTTGGAACCATCTTAGCAACCACAAGTTTGGTCTCTCAACAAAGACAACAAGCAAGGGTTTCAATGTCTTGCTTCTGGGAACCAGTGACCATGCTTGATTATGGGTGTACTGTAAATAAAAAAACCTCAAAAAAACATGACCGTAGTTTGAAACTGTATAAAGCTAGAAAGAAATGATTCAAGCAAGCCACTGACTGCGAGCAACAGCCTCATCATGCCTTGCCCACATCCACTTGAGAACTATGTCCAACGCTTGTTGTTCTGTTCTCTTGTGGCCAAATCGAGCTGAGCGAGATTGCTTGACACCTGGATTGCGATAGAATCCTGTTTCGGCCAGGCTCAAATTCAAATTGACTTTGAAAATTTGAGCCTTAATTATTTAATTAATGAAATCAATATATCGTATTAAATGATGTGATCATCAATAAATAAATAAACAACATTTGCCTTTTGAAAGAACCAAGCAAATAAACCCAATCCAGTCCTTGCACTATCATGATGGTCTTGTCAGGCGCCACATCATCCTCCCCAGAGCTCGAGTCACCAAGCCGAGCATTATCAGGGGCAGGTAAGACCGTCAACCGAACATCAACTGCTGGGAGGAGGCCTTCACCAGGGATCAATGCCTTGGACAGTCAGTCAGTCTCAGTCTCAGTCTCAGCCAATGTTGGCCAAAAAGGAATCAGCGATGATGTCCACTTTCGAAAGACAAAATGATGGACAATTCAATTAGTTAGAGTCAAAATAAAAAGAAAGCAATTGGCACAATTTGAATTCAAGCAACCTTGTACTTGCCAGGAGTCGCAAACCTTTTTGTGTGAGTCTGACGCTCTTGTTCATCAGGCATGACCCTGGGTGGTATTTCCTTATCAGGACGATCCTGGAGGTGCTTCGGCAAATTCATGAATGCTGCGCGGTCCTGCTCAGACATATAGTCGAGGATGGGCGTCAGCAGCTTGTCTGGCTTGAATCTTCGGCTCTCGACCAAACATTTGATCCACTTGACAATGTCGATCTCAGGCAATCCTGAACAAAGTTACTGGAGTATAGTCCATAATGAATGTTCTTCTATGTCTTTAGCAATGTGCTTATCAACCCCAACCCATCAAGTCAAACCACCGCAATCATACATGGAGTCAAGAAACCGGGCTCAAAGTTGTTGATCAAGGCCCTTGCTGCAGCAGCACCATTAGACACAGCACCAGACTGTTTAACGATAGGCAAATGGAGAGCCTGGCCACATTGGCAGAAAATGCGATGACTCGATTCATTGACTCATTCCCAAGAATATCAATACCAATCATGATTGTCGTAGATCAGGAGGACAAAAGTTGGACTGGGGAAACCACAAAGATCCTAAGACTGAACACAGGCTGAGCTACTGTGCACAATGTTGTCCAGAAATACGCTGGAAGAGGCTGTTTCAGTCTGACGCAGAATTCACTCAGTTTGTACCTCTTCGCATCTGTCCCTCGCCAGACGATTCCATGATGCTGCAGTTCTTGTGGGAGCATGTGCGGCCTTGACTGGCTAACTCTTGACAACTTGTGTTGGTTGAGAGACCAATGAAGAAATCAAGTGTCCCAAGTTAATTGTTAGTGGCTGGAAGGGTGCTAGGGAACAAAACAAAAGTTTTGATGGACTCAAGTAGGGAACACGATAACTTCTGTGAGAAAGCCATAGCAATCATCACCATCGATGTTGTCGACGCGATGCCAAAGAACTTTGTCTGACGTGTCTTTCTTGCCATCATCCTTGGCGGCATGCAAAAACAATGATACTACCTTCCAGCTACACAGCATTACTTACTACTTCTGTAACCAGCTGCTACTGCTGCACCTGTTCCAGCATCTAGTGTTGCTACTAAAGGACTAATGGTACTGACTAAAGTACGTTAAACTTCTAATAATACCACTACTAATACTTCTACTTCTACTTCTACTTCTATTCTACTTCAACTTCAACTTCTACTTCTACTACTACTACTACTACTACCACTACTGACTAAGTTACTACTACTAAGTTACTACTACTAAGTTACTACTACGGTTGTTACTACTACTAAGATACTACTACTACTACTACTAATAATAATAATAATAATTAATTACTACTACTAATAATAATAATAATACTAATACTACTACTAACTACTACTAACTACTACTAACTACTACTAACTACTACTAACTACTACTAAGTACTACCAACTACTACTAACTACCAGTAGTACCGCACAAGGCGGGGGCGGAAGTTTCAAAAATAGGAAACCTATAGGAGAGGTTGGTTGTTGCAAACCAGGGATGGCAGAGCGAAGCCACTGATGGATCGAAAAGGTGATTGATGTCTCCTCTCTTTCTCTCTCTTTCTCTGACTATCTACCTACCTGCCTACCTATACATCCATCCATCCATCCATCTATCTATGTATCTATCTATGTATCTTTTATCTATCGATCTCTCTCCCTCTCTCTCTTCCATCTAATTACCTATCTATCTATCTATCTATCTGTCTGCCTGTCTGTCTGTCTATCTATCTATCTCTCTCTCTCTTTCATCTGTCTATCTGTCTAGCTGTCTATCTGTCTGTCTATCTATCTATCTATCTGTCTGTCTATCTATCTGTCTACCTGTCTATCTGTGTAATGTAGTGAAGTGTAGTGTAGTGTAATGTAGTGTAGTGGAGTGTAGTGTAATGTAGTGTAGTGTAATGTAATGTAGTGAAGTGTAATGTAGTGAAGTGTAGTGGAAGGTAGTGCAGTGTAATGTAGTGGAGTGTAGTGTAGTGTAATGTAGTGTCGTGTAGTGTAATTTAGTGTAGTGTAGTGTAGTGTAGTGTAATTTAGTGTAGTGGAGTGTAGTGGAGTGTAGTGGAGTTGTGTAGTTGTGTAGTTGTGTAGTTGTAGTGTTGTGGAGTGTAGGGTAGTGTAGCGTAGTGTAGTGTAATCTCCTGTAGTGTAGTGTATTGAAGCGGAGCGACATCTGAACCGCCAAAAGTGGTCCGAAACCCTAGTGTTTTGTACATTTTGACTTCGAAATGTGCTTCGCGCCACAACGGCATGCACTTTTTCGACATCTGAACTTCCAAAAGTGGTCCGAAGCTGGTGTGTTTTGTACATTTTCACTTGGAAATGTGCTTCGTGCCCCGTGCCACAACGGCGTGCACTTTTTCGAGAATGGTGTGTTTTGTACATTTTGACTTGGAAATGTGCTTCGCGCTACAACAGCGTGCACTTTTTCATCACTCATCTAGCCAGCTGGCTCCGCACCCGCCGCTTTAGCGAG